GGGTAATGGCCACAGCTGTCAGGCTCCAGATGCTCCGGGGCCCAGCCCTGCCACGCTGTCCCCGTGTCCCTGTGGAGGAACAATGTGACCTGGGCACATCACCGCCCTTCCCCCTGACCTGCGTCCAGCAGCACCGGCTGCATCTGGCTGGGAGGCGGCTGCTGCTGGTCGCACCGTGTCCCCGGGAGGCTGCAAGGCCGCGAGGGCTGGACCTCCAGCCGGCACACGTGGTCCACCCTCAGCTGCCTGTCGCCCTCAGAACCTCCACGTGAGCTTCGTGTCCCCAGCACACGGAATCCTCCTGAAAACTGACATCTTCCTGCGATCAGCAGAAAAGATGGAATGAAAACCACGCAGATGAAAAGTCATGTTGTTCACTAATGATTTCTTTTTTTTTCTTCTCCTGTAAACTGGAAGGAAAAAGGCTTTGGTGACACTCTCTATAAAACAATCTACCTTGGATGGCAAAGCCCAGGCAGAGTTCCACAGGCCCGTGGAGTAAGCCAGCACTACGGCTTCGCATTTGCTCACAGGCTCGCTCTCACGCTCCGGGGACCAGCTGGACCAAGGTCGATCTCTAGCAACTGGGGGAAACACTTCGGAAAAGGCCTGTGGTGACACTACTACAAAAACGTCGGCAACATATTAGAAAAGCGTCCCACGTGTACATTGTACATAAAATAAGGTATGCTTTTTCTTTTTGCTTAACAATTTGCTACTTAAAATGGTTCCAGTTTTCGATGTCTTTCTTCTACCTCTCAACATTATTGTATACACATTTTTTTGGTCAAGATAAATATACAAGGTTCATCCCATGGTAACCAGGTCATTGGCATGGCCCTGATTCTAGTACTAATTACAACCAAAAGAAAAGGGGTGTCCTGAAGGAGAGCAGAGTGTTGCAGAAATCAAATGGCCTCTGAGGCCTGAAAGGCAAATCATTATAAAAATCGAGGGAGTGCAAGGCTGGCGTGCCTGGCTTTCAGTCAAGGGTGAGACCGGGCTAGCCTGCGGGTGCAGCTGTCTCGGTGGCTGCCCTCGTCTCTTGTTCCAGGGGCTAATAGTACAGCCTCCCTCATCTATTTTATTGGGCAGCGGAAGTCCCAAATTTGGGTAGCTCCTCCAGGCTCCTGATAGGGGACATACTGAAACTCTAGATTAGTGACAATTACGAACAATCCCTGGTAAGTAAAAGTCATGACAATAAAATCATCCGATTTTTAGAAAGGACAAAAAGGGGAGACGGTTTCTGGGAATCATCTTAATATTGAGATTATGTTGTAAATAGAAGCTTTTCCATCCAGAGCTTCTGCACAGTGTGACTGAATTAATGGGAGGGACTATGTTCTTAGGATTCTCAATCCCAATTTTTAAAAATATGTTTTTATTGATTTCAGACAGAGGAAGGGAGAGGGAGAGAGAGAAACATCAACAATAAGGGTCATTGATCGGCTGCCTCCTGCACGCCCCCTACTGGGGATCGAGCTCGCAACCCGGGCCTGTGAAATCGGACGGTGACCTCCTGGTTCATAGGTCCATNTTTTATTGATTTCAGACAGAGGAAGGGAGAGGGAGAGAGAGAAACATCAACAATAAAGGTCATTGATCGGCTGCCTCCTGCACGCCCCCTACTGGGGATCGAGCTCGCAACCCGGGCTTGTGCCCTGACTCGAAATCGGACGGTGACCTCCTGGTTCATAGGTCCATGCTCAACCACTGAGCCACGCCGGCCGGGCTCAATCCCATTTTTTTAAGGTAGACTTGGAGTCAAGGAATAAGCTAATCTTCTCATGCTGAAGCTCTGAGACTGAGGGGACAAGTCTAGCACAGTGGGTAATTTGAGAGTTCACTGCAGAAACCGGTACTTTTAAAAGGAGACCTGAGCGAATATAAGACACTTTCAGGTCTGGGAAGTTTGCCTCCACTTTTGAATCCATAATTCAGCATGTTCAGCAAGAGTCCTATTCAGATTCTCACCTGGCGAGGCTCTCTGCCTTCTCCCCACGCCCGCCCTTTAAACAGGTCTGATTAAAATTCCATTTGCTCTTAAATCAAGAGCTGCTTTAAAAAAAAATGAAACAGTATATAGGTCTATCCACATTCATTCATCTCACCCCTGATTAAATTAAAGTTTAGTAACCTTTATGAAAGGCCAGATATTCCAGAACCTACTGTCAATGAAAAACAAAAATCATTTCTAAAAATGTTGGAAGGAAGCAACTGAGATTGATCCTTCTTTGAGCACCTTTTGTAACGAGAATAAATTAAAGTGTAATGCACATTAGATTCTGGTACAAGAGACTTCACTTTCTTCTGAAGCACCCTATTAGAAAGTGTGCTCATATGACCAGGCAGGCCTACCTACATTATCTTTTGTAATGTGACAGCAATGATTATTTCATATATTTTTCTGTACAGTCTCAATGCTGAGTTGTTTCATTGTTTTCAACAAAGGTGATATACTTAAAGTATATTAAATATAATGCAAGCTTGATTCGATATTTATAAAACTTTTCATAGATATATATAACTATATAAACCAGCTTAAAAAGTTATTTTTAAGATCGTGTGTCCTAATGAGGAACTGGAAAAAGATGTTGTGTGGAAATCATAAGTGGTCCAGTCCTCTCTGGAGTTTCTGCATGCAACTCATTACATGGTTGGCATTGCGCTCTCTGCTCTTGGCTTCTTACCAATTCATGTTGGCCCACTTAGGGACCTCTGGTTATCATTCGAGTTGGCTGAGAGATAGCTCCTGACATCCTACAGAGATGGCTGTGATTTGTCAACTTGCCGCAGTGAAATATAGCTCTTTCCTTAGTGAATTAAAATTACATCTTACTGTTGGGTCTCACTGATTTGCTAAGCATTGTTCAATTCCCAGCTGTATGTTCCAAGTAGTAAAAGAACATACTAGCCAGCATCCCAAAGAGATTTTCTCAGAGAATGATATAAAATGATACCATGGAGATGTGAAGTGGCTGAAAAGTGTGTCAGATCCTGTTCTCATTTATAATTATCATCTTTTTTTTTTTCACACAACATACACTGTGTGTGGAGAATATGCCCCATGAGCTATGTGACAGGTAAATCTGGCAAAGTAGCCCCCCGAATCCCGTCATGTGACTGGCTGGTACAACTGGGGACTTTGCTCCATGAGCCAAGAAGACACACGAGTTTCAAGTTGGCGTGGGGACTTGGAACAAAATGCTGCATTCATTTTTGCAAAGGAGAAAGATACACGACTAATTTGGCAGCCCAAAAAATTAATTTAAGTACAAATTTGCAAAGGCCAGATGAATAAGGATTGCCACCCCTTCAAGTCATCGAGAGCTGCAGCCTGAGTGGCATGAACCCTATCAGACTGGGCATCTGCTAGAAAGAAACAAGGTGGCAAGGACTGTGGACCTAAGAACTACTTTTCAACAAATATATGAGATAATCACATACACTTAGAAGAAACTGTCCCATTTTGAGAGTGGGCTAAAGCAGGGTCAAATTGGATGACAGACTGATTTAGGAACTGTTCTGAGTCACGAGGCTGCAGAGAAAGCCCCTTTCATTGGACTTCATTACCTGCGAGCCACTCACAACACAGCGTTTGGACACATGGGCTCCAGTCTTTGCTCTGTCACTAGGTAGTGTGCTGTGTCACCTCTTTGGACCTCTGCAAACACCTTGTTTTGCTCATTTACAGCTCCTTCCTTCCCTGCACTCTCATTGCAAGGTCCTCTTCTTCCTCCAGATGTCTACAAAGCAAGGATGAGTTACAGTCTCCTGGATTTATGGTTTCCACTGACCTAAGCCAGGCACTTGAAGTTATTTCAACATCATTCTGTGATGGAATTTTCTTCTAAACAACATTGGAAATAAATTTATGAGATGTGAGGTGGCGGTGGGGGACGACTAAAGTGCTTGTTTATTCAGCATAAAAGATTTTAGGGCCAATAATGTCTTTCTCTTCTCTACCCTCTCTTGCCTCTTCCAAGTAGAAGAAAGCATTTAGTATCAGAAGTCTCTTCTCCATCATTTACAATGGAGTTAAGTGATATATATATATTTCAGCTTATATTTGCAGTTTTACAATAATCAGAAGCTCAGAGCAGCATTTGCAGGGATAGAAACTTTCTTTTTAACAAGAAGCACAAGTGAATGTCACCAGATTTAAAAATGAAAATGAAATAAAACAGTGTTCACATTTGTTTCTGATTATTATGTGTGTCAGATTCTTGCTCAAAACAAGAATGTTGACCAAAAATGGTATCCAGGTCCCAATGGTGAGGTTACTTCTCAGCAATCACCTCATGCTCAATGCTGAGAATTGATACCTTCTTACTTCTTTCTCAACAGAGAAGCTCGGAAACTTGATGTTTCCACAAACATGAAAGAGCCTGTCTTGCCCATAATCTGTTCCTCTCCAGATACTCATTCTCAGTACACTTCCTTTGCCTTTAAACGAAAGCCTTCCCCAGCTCTAAGTGAACGTAGGCCCATGTATAATGTAGCCCCCACCTCTGAAAAGAACTGGGTGATTGCTGTGTTTCAGTACTTCCCTCTCACTAGCATGCTTGCTGGTGGATGGTATAGATGGTTCCTTGTGCAAACTGAACATTTGTTAATGATACTAGCGTTTCCTTGGTCCTAGCTCCCCCCGCTCCCCCCACTCCCCCAATGAAAAAGATTATCATACTTACATATCTCAAAGTTTTCAGTTAGAACTGTCTACCTGGAAGTCATACTACTTTCTCGCATGCAGCGACACTTTAGAGATAAAAGTTCAAGGGCATCTGCAAATTCAAAGTGGAAAACAATTTGCACTGGCAAAGTGGAATAATGAACTTATCTTAACTTATGCTCAACTATTTCTGGACACTGGATAGAGTGGCTTGTGTTGTCTGTGAAGCTGGAGCTTTTGTAACTGCGGGAAACCCTGCATGACCACTGACAATGATGTTGTGGGGAGAGGAGCAGCAGCTTTGAAACAGTCACAACCAACACAATTTTGATTAAAGAAAGAACTCTGGTTTTTAATAGTTTTGATCATTAAAAAAGTTTAAACCTGCATAGCAATCATTTCAAAAATAATTATTTAATGTTCCATAATTAAACTGTACACAACCTAGTCTTGGGACATAGAAGCCAGTGAGGTGAGTTTGGAGCAGTCCGGAGCAGTCCCAGGAGCCAGGAGTCGAGTTCTCATTGGCCTTTTTGTCATTCTGTTCATGGTAAGTTTATTTGGCTACTTGGCACAATCTGGCTCCGCGGCTGAGCGGATCTGCACTGGGAAGAGAGCACTTGACTCAGTCCCTTCTCGCTTCCCCTCCCTCACTCGGCTGGGTTCCTCAAAGTCGCTCAATGTCTCGGTATTTCTTCCTCAGAATAGAGACCTGGTCTTTAAAGAGGACGGGGTCGAGCCTCATCTGGGAGTGGATCAGCGGCATGTAGCCAAACCAGCTGGCAAACGTATTCATGCAGCTCTGTCGCTGGGCAAAGTGGTCGGGGTCGGCCCAGCGGGAAGCCCGGGAAGTCTGGGGAAGGAGAGAAACAGGGAAGACAGTGAGCAAAGTGCCAGGGGACGTGGAGACACTGCAGAAAACCAAGCCAGCCTCCTGGCATGGGGCAGAGCTCGGGGGCTGGCTGGGACCCCATACCTCCGCACCCTTGTGCCTGATGAAAACCCAAGCACTGATCCTGGTTTCTACCCGCCCCAGAAGAAGGTTTTCCCAAGATATGCTGCTTTCCTGCTTTCCTTCCCCACTGCTAAACACACACGCAAACAACAGTTCATACTGAATGACTCATTCTCTGCTTGGTACACGACTTACCAGTTGAACCTCCCCTACTATAGTCACTAAATCTAAAAGTTCTCTCTGCAGTCGGGGTCAAATATTATGACCAGCAGTGTGTTTGTGGTTTCAAAGACAGTTTTCTAAAGCTTTCTTGTTAATGATGGGTACCATCTCTTTAGCTCTCTGCGTTGCCCCTAAGGTTGGTTAAATAGTTTTAGACCATGAGAATGACTGACACTGATTGAAAGGAAGCCTTAAATGACTTGAGGGCTGAAATTTAAATAGATGAACTAAGCACAATGTCTTTAAAACCATGTTTTTATGTAACTAGGAAAAGGTGGGCTGCTCAATTATGGGAGCAGAACACAAACTTATGTAATTAGGCAACTGTTTAATGATGTGTGTGTGTGTGTGTGTGTGTGTGTGTGTGTGTGTTCCTTGTGCTTGAATCCTCATGCATTGTTAGAAAATTTTTTCATCGGAAGGTACATTTTACTGTGAAAATCACTCAGAGTCACTTTAAAACAAGTGTCAACATGCTTGAAAGTAACCATTGAAGGTAAATACAAATGTCAAGTTACCTCCGAGCAGCAGAAAAACAAACAAAATATGACTCCTTAAGTGTTTTCATGAAGTTCATTCGAGCTTCACAACAACCTGGTCAAGTTCTCTTCCTAGTAATCACATCCCCACTGTATAGATGAGGGGGTGGGTTCAGGGAAGTTAAAATTACTTGTTCAAGGCTAGAAAGGGACAGAACTTAGGTTCCACCCTTTACCATTTGTCCTAGGAGTACTCTGCTTGGTAAATCAAGTTAAGCTGACCAGTTGAGTTCATAGAGAGCAGACAATCCCCATGACATGTCACTTTGTTCCTAAATTGGTATGAGCTCTGGATGGGTCTACTCATTCCCAAAGGGCAAGACCTTCAGGGCAGTGTGCAAATTGAAATACTGTCAAGAGCTTAAGCTCATTCTTATTCTCTCTTAAAAATAATTTTANGCAAGACCTTCAGGGCAGTGTGCAAATTGAAATACTGTCAAGAGCTTAAGCTCATTCTTATTCTCTTAAAAATAATTTTTAAAAAATCTGTTGAATCACTCAGGTAACTTTTTTGTCTCTAGATTTTATTTTGGGTCAACCAACATATTAGAGAAGATATATTTCCAGTGTAATATGTACTTCACCAGTCATACAAACATTCAATAAACAAATGTGTTTGATGGGAAGATACAGTACATATTTAATTAGACACATCTAGTTAGACCTATGGCTAAACTTAGATTTGTCCCCAAAAGAAGTGCAAAATTATTAGAAATATTGGTTTGGTAGAATTAGGCAAATCTATGAGGTGGCCATTAAACCAACCCCTAAGAAATCATGTGTCATAGAGTTCCCTCATCAGCATATAACCTCAGAGAAGTTCATAGAACTCTCTGAGCAAACAATATTAAAGGAACGTTGTATCCTTAAATGAGATAATATATATGAAAATACCTGGGCACACAGAAAGCTTATATATTCTTGACATAAAGACACCCTTGACTTACGCCTTCCCAATTATCCATGTGCCAACCATGCTCTCTCTCAGAGCCTTTAGATGTGGGGTGTTGTTTTTTGTTTTTTTATGTCTCCTCTTTATGCCTAGTAGAGGAACAGTAAGTCCTCATTCCCTCCAGGTGAACCACCAGCAAGCAAAGCAAGGGAGCAAGTTCTCTTACCTGTCCCATCATTGTCTCCTTATACTGCTTCTTCTGGGTCACTTTGATTGGAGGCAATTTTGTCACAGCAGACACCAGGAAATTCATGAGAATGTCCTCACAGTTGGCCAGCTGGTCCACCATGTTCTTCAGGCTGGCTGGCAGATAATGGGTGTACAGGTAGTGATAATATCTGTAAAAACCAAGGACATTTCCCGAGGGGCCATCATTACATATGGTGGCCTTCTTTGACAGAAAACACATACCTGTTCTTTGGATATCAACACATATCATGGATGATGATGATAATAACTATGACTTACATGGTACTTACTACACAGGATGGGGCAAAAGTAAGTTTATAGCTATTTATATGGAAAATAATACAATAATAAATAAATAATACAAGAATACACTCTCTATTCCAAGTAGTCACAACTGTAAGCCTACTTTTGCCCCCCTCTTTATGCCAGATGACATTCTAAAGTGCTCTACAACAAATGCCACATCCAACCCTTATAAGAAATCTATGCTGTACGTACTATTATTACCCTATTTTATAGGTAAAGAAACAAGGTACAGAGATACATGCAGATATAGCTTGTCCAGCCTAACTTTTAATATCAGGGTGGTTGGTAAGAAACAGAATACTTAGATGGCAAGGATAGTTACTTACACGTAACCTATAAATCATTACAAGATGTTTTACAATTTTAATTATTGGCTTAGGCAGAACTGTATTTAAGACTATCCCATAACTCTAAATCCAACAATATACTGTTCTATTTTTGTGGCCTATAAATCATATATTTCAACAGTTAGAGCAAAACTCTAATTAATCTAGTGGCCAATCACTGGAGAACCCATATTAATTTGAATTATTTTCATTCTACTATTTTTTGGAGGGACATATAGTCTATATTTATAGGAAAAAACATTTGAATAAATCAGATACAGTAAGTGGCAGTGCAAGAGGTAAGGGAACAATGAACTTCCAAGAGGATGAATCTTGAGACGAAGGTTCAGCCAGCTTAAATGCGAGCATTTCCAACTCTACCCCTGATATGGCAAGATTCTCTATTCTTTACTAAAAAAGATTAGGTTAAGATTGGTGTGTTTACCTCCGATCAGAAGAGTGGGGATTTCATTTATGATTGAGTCAGGAACGTGAACTAATTTGGCAATCTGACCCAATTGCCCTGGCTTTAAAAACCAGATATGCAAGCAACTCCCAAATGTTATCTCCATCCCTTACCTCCTTCAACAAGCCCTCTGGATGTCTTAGGAAGCCCAAGACTGAACTCCTGAGTGTCCTCTAATACTTATTCCACCCACAGCTTTCTCTATCTGTTGATGGCCACTCTATCCTGCTAGTTCTTCAGGTCAAAAAACTTCTATATCCAATCTGTCAGGACATCATGCTGGAGCATCTTCAAAATATGCCCACAATCTGATCACTATTTACCACCCATTGCTCACTTTTTGGTCCCAGGCTCCATCATCTCTTGCTTAGATAATGCCAATCATGTCCCAATAAGTCTCCCTGCTCCTATCCTGGCCCCCAGAAACCATCCTCAACAGAATGGATGCTTCAAACATAAGATTGCTCTGCTCAAACCCCATGTCACTGACAGGAAAATCAAGTCCTCATGGTGGACAGCAAGATCCTGCATCTGGGCTCCCAAGACCTGTCTCATCGCTTTCCACTCCTCTCTAGTCACACTGATATTCTTGATATCCCTCCAATATTCTGCCTCAGGGCCTTTGTTCCAGCTGTTTCCCACACCGTAACGCTCTTCCTGCCCACATTCTCTCAGCTGACTTCCTCTGCTCCATGAAGTCTCTGCTCAAATCTCACTTGCTCCACGAGGATCACCCTGACCACCCCCTAATCTGCTCTTTCTCTTTTGTTGCTTCTGACCCCTTATCTGCTCTACTTTGCCTTTTTGCTATGTAACTTCTCACCTTAACATATTATAGAATTATTATATAGATTCTTGTTAGAATCTAAGACCATCATAGGTGGGGCATATTTTTCTATTTTACTCAAAGGTAAATCCCAAGCGGAATGGTGCCAGTGGGGGGTGGGGGGGTGGATAATTCAATTGAGTATTTACTTTTGTAGTTGGAATTCTAAATATTCAGTTACTCAATACACCCTGAGATGTCTTCACACTTCAGATGAACTAGAGATGTTACTTTACCATACTTTCTGGAAATGCAATAAGCCAAGATTTTTTATTGGTTTCAAAGACACATAATGGTCACATCAACAAAATTTAAAGGGGGATGCAGATTAATTTCTGTTAATGTTGTTAACAAGGTTTGGTTCAAGTCCCTACGTATTCAGCAGTCAGAAACTAATACAAGGAGTATATAAAAATCTAAACACACGAGATGTGCAAATTCCTCACTTGTGGTAGATAGCAGCTCCGGTCAACACCATGGAGTAGTCGTTCGTCCACTTGGACGTGTACCCCCACCGCTCCTTAGAGTTATCCCAGAAGTGGCTGCGCGCAGGGTACCCCACGATCCTCTCGGGGAAGCTCTGCCAAACGGTGAAGGCAAAATCCACCTGCAGGCAGAACACAGGCCAAACAAGCAATCAGCAGTGTCAACAAAACATTACCTTCTCCTGCTAATTCACAAGGCGAAACCCCAGACTGTTGCGGAACATCGGTTCCCACACATTCATCAGCAAATTAAACTGACTGCTTGACATTTTGCCCCACAATTATGTACATTTTAATGTTTTCTGTTACAGAAACTTCCGATTACTGCAGAAATGCAAGAAGAAGAAAAACACACAGGACATTTGCTGACATGTCTTTTAGAAATGCCGTCTGTTCAAGCTAGAAAACAAGACAAAAAGCAGTTGCTTCCTCCCCCACCAGGTGCATGTGACGGCTGATTCGTGAGCCCAGTGTGTCTGCTTCGTGAGCGGGGGGTTTCCTGTAGACGCCCAGGGTGTGAGTGTACAGCACGCATCACACCCGCACACAGCAAAGCCGAGGGGCCCAAAAGAAAGGCATCCTCTTGAGAGCGCGAGAAAAGATGTTTCAAGCGATACCCAAGGTCTATCAGGAGCACAAAGCAGACATCACAAGAGGCGGCGTTCAGGCCCCTCGGGCTGGGAGCTGCGGAGCGCCAGAGGCAGCGAGCAGAGGCATCCACACCGAAAACCACCCAGAATAAGTGGGAACGAGGCCAAGTGAAGCCACAGGAGCATTTTAAAGGAAATGCAGCTACATGACTTTGTAGCCCTTATGACAACCCAAAGCAGGGACTTCTGAATACGCTATGAACTAACATTTATAATGAGCAAATGGTCTGTTTTCAAGTGCGTAAGCTCACAATGGACTTCCGATGATTATCTGATGGATGATAAATAAAACAATATTGAAAGTAAAAGTAAAAATAGTAATAGCAAACAATCATACAATGCCCATAACTGTGTAATGCTTACAATGGTTATAGGCACTCACGCGTTTTAACTCATTTAATCCTAGTTCTGGGAGAAGGTAACATTATATTCTCAAATTTACAGAAAAGGAAGCTAAGGTATATGGAGGTCTGAATAACCTGCCTGAGCTAGTAAGTGACAGAGCCAGCATCTGAAGCCCGGCCACCTGGTTTCAGATTTGGTGTGTACTGTTTTCATAGCCTCTCCTTTAGCTCCATTGCTACAGTGTTGGAAGCAATTTATCTCTTATACAGGCTACACATTCACCCCACAACCTTTGCTCTACCTCTTCTTGATAAGCAATGAAAATGGAGATTTCATTTGCTCCACCAATAGTTCAAGTCTCAGCACAGTGACCTCTCAAGAAGTTCAAGAGTAGAGCAAATAACTATTCACAACAGCCAAGAGGTGAGAACAACCCCAGTCATGTCAACTACTGAATAAATAAACTAAATTTGCTATATCCATACAACGGAATATTATTCAGCTATAAAAAGGAATGAAATAGTGATCCATTTTATACTACAGGGGCAAACCTTGAAGCACGATGCTGAGGGATAGAAGCCACACTCCAAAGGTCACATAGCATAAGACTCCATTTACATGCAAGTCCAGAATATGCAACTACATAGAGACAGAAAACAGATCGGTGGTTCCTAAGGTTAGGGAGTGACCCGTTAATGGGTAAGAGGTTCCCTTTTTGGGTCATGAAAATGTTTTAGAATAAGGCAGAGGTAATGACTACCCAGCCTGTAAATGTACTGCGTGACACTAACTATATACTTTAAAATGATCAATTTTGTCATGTAAATTTTACCTCAATTAAAAGAAGAGACAGGGCATATAAGCCTAGATCAGCATTTCCCAAGCTTTCATCATCTGCATAACATCCTTCCTTCTTTGTCACATTCCCAGACCAGACTTTCAATCACTTTACTCAGTGTTTTTCTTTCAACTGCCTTTTCCTTCTTTTTTCCTCACTAGCCTCATCCTAGGTAAACATGTCAGTGAAATCCTACATATAATTGCAGGCCACATTATTTCCTAACAAACATTAAAGTAAATATAGAAGTGTTAAAATTAAATGCATGCTTGCCATGAACCATGTAAAACTATTTAATGTGCACAGACCACTTTTTGGGGAAACTCTGGCCTGGGTGATCTGTAGGGTCCTTTTATCTCTGACTTTTTGGGGGCTTAGTTAGAAGCAATTTTTTTTTTTTTTTGAGAGAGAGAGGAAGGGAGAGGGAGCGAGAAAGAGAAACATCAATGTGAGAGTGGAACACTGATTGGCTGGCTCCTGCATGCCCCCTACCAGGGATGGAGCCCCGAACCCAGCCATGTGTCCTGACTGGGAATCGAACCGGCAACCTAGGCCACATTGGCCAGTGCAGAAGTCATCATTTTTGTAAGCAGCCATAAGTTCAAATTTTTATGAAAATCGAGTTTGGTGTCCTATTTCAAGATAAGAAAGCCTTAACAACATACATAGCTTGTTCCCCCAAACAATAACATCAGGGGGTGGGGGGAAACAGGGTGGTGGAGCAACCATCAAGGAAGCTTGGTGGGGCATGGGGCATCTCAGAGTTAAAAACATCAGGGAAGTGGACAGTCTGTGCCAAAAAACTGAAATCCGGTTGTGATAATCTGCATATGGTCACTGGTATTCAAATGCTAATGGCACGAACCTATGGGACAGGATCTTATCGAGTTCATCTTCTAAGAATCAGCCTGGCTGTCAGCACTCTGGGGTTTCCATCATACTTTGAAAAGGAAACACATGCACTGGAAACTGCTAGAGAACCCGATGGGGTATTTTCATCACATGGATTCTTACTATCTCAGAGCCGTTTCAAGTCATTTCAAAGGAACTCAAAAGTAAATTCCAATAAACCATGATTCTTGTGATAGCTCTGCTTTCACGCAGATCATTAACACATCAAAGAAGGCAAAGGTCAGCTCCTGGCCTTTTCTGGTAAAAACCAACAGCTGTTTTCTTTTGAGAATTCGCAGCAACCCAGATAAATGTAAATAACTATAAACCAACTCCATCTAATACCCTTTAAAGGAGGCTGTTTAAAAAAAAATCTCTCCTTAATACTACAGAAAGACATTTAAACAAGACAAGAATCCTTAGAGAAGAAATAAAATGAACCAACATCTCTTCACCTAAAAAAGGAGAAAAGAGAAATCCTGCCCTCGGTCATTTTAGGCAACACAACCACCCCACTGATCAACAGGCCGCAGTAACCCAGGCTGCCAGCCTCTCAATTCGCATATGATTTTCAACCCACGGCGACTTCTAATTACTCCACACACAACACATGCTCCTCCCAGTGTGCACCGAGGGGCCGGGGGCGCTGTTCTCGGAACAGAAGTTCACCAGCACGCCGCTGCATCACAGCAGCTGGAAGTTATCTCACATGGGACGGGGGATGCAAATCCTAGAGGGAGACTAACGGCCTTGTGCCCAGGGGAAGACGTAAGGTGAAGAATCAGTACTTTGGGACACAGGAAAATGACTTGGGTACACGCTCTCATTGTGACCATACGTTGCACCACGGCAACGAGGTGCTTCTCCTGTTTGCTCTGAGACCCCCTCTCTGCTCTTGCTGCTATGCTCTACACCCCGATGCCGGGGCTCTGGCCGGCACAACCTGGTCTTCCTTGCTGGCTGGTGGCAGATCGGGGTAGGTCAGTGGGAGCCTTCAGCAGGATGGAGGTGAGACAGGGAGAGAGGTCAGGGTATTTCTTCCCTGTTCCCTCCCAGCTTTGGCACCGGAGTTCCCGCAGTTGCCATGTCCCTCCACGATCACAGCGCTTGCAGGGCAGCCCCTTCTCCCCAGTTCCCGCTCTCAGGGACTCTGGAAACACTATTTCCTTTCCTGGTTCCTCCAAGCCTCGGGGTAGGAGCTGGGTCCTGTTCTTGTTACTGGCCAGGTGCCGCACTCTTGCTCGTAGAGTCCTTTTAACCCTACCCACCTCTCTCAATAATCCTAAAGCCCTTCATTTGAACCACCTGATTTGAATTCTGTTTGCTGCCAAGATTCTGATGGCTACAGGCAGGAACCGTGTAACAATCAAAGCCCCTGGCATGCAGACCAGAACAAAGAAATCCCTCAATAAACACTTGTTGAATGAATGTGCTCCTGGGATGCCAGCATCCCTTGCAGGAAGCAGCAGAAGCATGCAAGCTGGGCGTCCCGCACCCTGTATTCCACAGCTATCTTTCCCTTTGAACATGAAGCATGTCTTCTCCTCCTACCCCTTTCTCCTGGAGACTTACACATGACACAATTGGCTGTGCGTTCTTTAATCCCCTCAGCACGCATCCCTCCAGTCATTCATTCACCAAGTATTTATAGAGCTTCAGCAACACAAAGCATTTTCCCAGGTGAGGCCCAGCACTTTTTGTCCTGGGGTTATTTAGGCTGACCCTGCAAGTAACGCTTGTTCAATGCCACTGGATGGAAACTGGAAGCATCGGTGGAATTTCAAGAAAGACACTGTGACTGGTAGCTTAGGGTAACCCCAAGTCCTTGCTATGTGGGCAGCGGGCCATTAGAATCAGACTGGCCCCTTGGAAAGTACATGCTGGGCAATGCCCATGTTTAAATGGAAAGTGATCATAATAAAAAGGGGGAAAAAATGGAGGAGGGGAAGGTATAAGTAGCTAGGTCTCCAGACTTTTTAGCAGCTACCGTTAATAATGTATTTCCAATATACTACATTTTTATATACCTGTCGGTCCCCTGCATGGTTTAAAGTAAGGTTGTAAAAATTGCTTTTCTACTGTATCTGTCTTTCCTCTGCTCTCTCCTCCTCACACATTCTCTGTGCCATCTTATTTTTGGCACATGTACCTGAGTGTCTGAAATAGCAGGGACCTCCATCTCTGCTTAAAGTGAAACTGTTTGCTCTTGTGTGGGTGAAAGAAAATGAGCACTTGAAACCAAGACAGAAAAACTGCCTTTAGAGCCCAGAAGAGTGCTCCCTAACAGAGGTGTGACACACGCCCACACAGGCATTAAGATAACTGGGGCAGGAGGGGATTGTTTGCACTGGACAGTGTGATTTCTAGATAATGCTAAACAGGTGCCTCCCATTGGTTCTTCTGCATGCCTGCCAGCAGCTGTGCTGTTTAAAAACAAAAAAGAGGGCAGGCAGGAGGCAAGAGGTGAGGTACAGCCATGCAAATGAGGAGCCAATTAGCAGAGAAAACAAAGGGGAAGATGCCCTCATCAGGGTGCTGGGGGTAGCAAGGTGCTCACAGGAACTGGGTTGATTAAAGCCAACTCTGCAGGAAGTTGTGAAATGTTTCCGATTTGGCCAAGGCCCAGGAAAAAGAAGACCTGGCACCTGGGGGTTTGGGGCAATGGCCTGAAGAGCCCACTGCCCCCTCCTCGGGTGTGGCGCTTACCTCCGTAGTTGACAGCACGGTGTCCTCGTCGAGGCTGAGCACTGCGTCAGTGACGATGTTGTCATAGGGCAGAAAACGGCTGCTCATAACCTGGGAGGAAGCAGACGCAAGCAGAAGAGAAGGAATTAGGAAAAAGAGACATACATTTTGAGTTTTGTTTTTCAGGACAATTCCCCCATCCTCAACCTTCCAAAAGAATGTTCTAGCAGTATGTCGCCCCTCAACGTTGAAGACTTCCATTTCTCATCAGTGCAGACTCATTGGTTCCACAATTTTGGGCACCTACTGTGTACAGTACAGACACCTTGCTAGCTAAGAGAGGACAAAGAAGAAATGTTTCCTGTTCACAGTCTGCAGAGAGACCAAGAACAAGATGACCAGTCCTCGCCTGATATGAAAAATGCCAGGAGATAAGAGGATGCAGCCACCAGCCACTTGGAAGAGCAGATGAAGAGGGACATTGAAGCAGGACCTTGGTGGGTAGGAATTCACCAGGTATACACAGAAATGAGGCATAACAGACAGAGCACTCAGTAGACACAAAGGCCCAGAGGAGAGAATCCAAACTGTGAGGCCAGGAAAGGGCTGATGGATGGAATAGTGATTCCAAGTGCGGGACACACACACTGGAAGGCCAGGATATTATAGGAGGTGTGCACACAGACATCTAAAAATCCTACTATTTACTTATTTTAGCCCAGATTAAAAATATATACAGACACACACATACTAGTTATTATAGCAATAAAAGGTAGTCATGAGGTAATTTACAATTTTAATTTCATTTAAATGAAAAGTAAGCATTGTCCTGTACACTAAAAAAGGTTTCAGGTTTGATTCCCAGTCAGGGCATATACAGAAGGCAAGCCATTGATGTTTCTTTCTCACATCAATGTTTCTCTCTCTCTTTCTCTCTCTCTCTCAAATCAATAAAAACATATCCTTGGGTAAGGTTTAAAAAAAGAGAAAAGAATGATTGAAAGCTTTAAACATTTACAATGTGCCATGGAATGCTTCAAGTTCTTATTTATATCATCTCATTTCATATTTATAACCCCCTTTTATAGATGAGAAAACTAAGGCACAGAAACGTTAACTGTCTTGTCCCCGATGAACCCAGCAGCATTTCATCCCAGATGTGCCACCTGTCTCAGGTCTGAAAAGGACCTCAAAAGTGAATCTGGGGCCTGGCCGGTGTGCCTCAGTGGTTGAGCATCGACCCATGAACCAAGAGGTCGCTGGTTCGGTTCCCGGTCAGGGCACATGCCTGGGTTGTGGGCTTGGTCCCCAATGGGGGGGGCGTGTGGGAGGCAGCTAATGGATGTTTCTCTGTCATAGATGTTTCTCTCTCGCTCTCCCTCTCCCTTTCTCTCTCTCTAAAAAATCAATAACAAACATTAAAAAAAAAAAAAAAGTGAATCTGGGGCACATATGACAATCTCACATTCACCACCTGACTCTGGAAGTTATAGTAACAGTTATGACATCCTCTCTGAATTCACACTTGGAAACCCAACAGAAAAGAAATACCTGCCATCAACTCTCAAGGCATAAAAACCATGGAATGAAGAAACTGGACACTAGAGACAGAGAGAAAGGCAGACTCCTAAACTGGCTGCCAAAGTATCTTCTCCACAAATGTGAGGATCCACCCTCCCACCCCAGATGCCCAAGCCATATTTACACCAAGAACCAGCTCATCCAGGGCCTCGTCTCAGACTGGGTTTACACGCCTGTGAAGCTACTGGAGGGCTTGTGACTTTGAAGGGTGGGAAGCGCCCACTCTGACCCATCTCTGGGAGCTACAGGGATGTATCTACAGCATAAATGGCTTCAGGGTCTGCTCCTACACATCTGTCAACTGGGTCAAGTTCTTTCTCTCTTTTTCAGGCTTCCAAAATCAAATCAAATACAAAGCGATCAGCAGCCCCATACACACAGTGTTCAGAAACCTCAGCCTGAAGCACTTCTCCCGATGTTGTTTCCATGTCCCTGACTAAAGGCAAAGACCATTAGCTGCAGCTTAGCGATGCCCTGCTACGCCTACAGCGGAGCACTGCAGAGACAAGGCCTAACAATTCAAAACAGAACTTCACAGCCAAAGCAGCAAACACATCAATTTTAAACTCAAGGCTAGACATGGAGATTTAAAGGGGCGATAGGAAGGGCACATGGCTGCTTCCCCATCTTGGGCCCAACTGTTGGTTTTAAAAGGATTCATTTTCTTTTTCTGAACCTGCTTCATCAACAGAGGTTAAGAGCTCCTAAGCCAACCACTTCCAAATTCTAGTGTAGAAACTAGAGGCTCTCTTTCAAACATCTTGCCTCAGGCTCCCTTCCAAAAGTCGAATGGATTAGCATCCAAGGAACCCACATACTTACAAAGTCAATCTGTGGGAACTGGGTGTTCCTCATTAGGTCATTTAAAAAATATTTAGCTACCACATACTAGCCCAAACCCTTCTAGAATTAATAAACGTGGCTAGGAAATGACCAAGACTCAGGAAGTATATTGCGTAATGGGGATAAGAAATGTCCATAGGTAATTATACAAAGCCCAACTGCGCACCCACCACATGCACCCGCCCTTCTAGGTCTATTTACATATACAGTATTATAACATCTGATCCTTTTAGCTACCCTGTTAGTTAGGTATTAAGATTATTTCCACTTACTAAAGGAGCATGAGGCACAGAGAGTTAAGTAACTCACCTTGCGTCACACAAAAGTAAGTCTGACAAGAGAGCCCCATACAAACCATAAGATGACAACGCCTCCCAGAGGAGTAGCTGGCATGTATTGAACCCTTGCTGTATCATAAGCACAAGACGAAGCACCTGCGATGCAGTAGCTCACTTAATCCTCAAAAGGGGCCCAAGTTTTAGCCTAGGTTCCCTGGAAAACAGAGCTGAAGCAAGATTTAAGTGCCAGTGTTTTCCCAGGCACCAGGCAGTGCCATCCCAGGGCTGTGAAAAGGAACCCTCTGACTCACTGGAGGCACTGGCCGGGCAGAGGCTAGGACTCAAAAGATGGCCCGAAGCCCAAATATAGACCAGCTGGAGGAATGGGAGGTGTCTTACAAGACACATTTGTGAAGCCCGTGAGATAGGTACTATTGTTATCATCTTATAAATAAGGAAGCAGGGACTCCTGGCTCAGAGCAGAAATATAAGACCAATCGATGAGTCTGTGCATAAAAACGCAATACTAATCATAGAAGTCCCAGGGAAGTCAGTCAGCCTGGATCCTTTCTGAATATCCTGAAATAGTCAAAGAAAGGCTTATCTACTAGAAGAAGTTCTAGCCGCCCATGGAAGCATAGAAAAGAAAGAATCCCCAAGTTCAAAGTTTACAGCTTCCGCCTGAGCACTGTTCAGGCCTCAGGCACTGGATTCGGGGAGACAGATACAGAAGGTTGCAGGCAGGAGATTTTTGTGTGTGCCAGTCCTTCTGCGCAACCACACCTATGGTGACATGCATGCAGAAGGGTGACTGATGCCAGAAGGCATGCGGTGATTCTACCTCCCACCTCTCGTTAAATGCTTCCCAAGCAGCTCTGACAACCATGTTGCTTGAGTCCAGCCCTAAGAATGCCATGACTATATCTGCCATATTCCCCACCGTGTTCCAACGTGTAGCGCAGTGCCCAGCACACAGTAGGCACTCATACACTGGATCATCGCGTCCATGTGACAGTTACAGTTCTCACTGTATTATGGCAAACCATATGAAATTTCCACTTTTTGTGAGTCAAATGATGGTTTCAAATGGTTCAACCTCATCAATCGACATTTGTTATTCTGGCTCAAAGATGTTTTACTTAGAGTGAGATAACCTCCCCTGATAGGACCCCTCGGGGACTGAGAAAGGAAGTCTCTTAGATGACAATGCTTCGCCAACCTTGGTTTCGCTGAGTGGCGACTAATTTCTTCACAGTGGATAAGATCTACAAGAAAGCAACAAGCAGAAGCTAGAGAAATGAACTCAAGTTTGGCTTCCAACAATGGAAGAAATTTCAAAGAGAAGGTAGCATGTGAACAGGGGCTTAAAAAATGGATGGGAAGTTTGACGACAGACATGCGGAATTGAGAGGGGTGGTCGGGCTTACAGCACATGGGAAAGACAAAAATTAGAGGTAGGATGGGACACGGTGCAATTCATACAACTGGGAATGATCAAATTCGGTCAGAGGATGGGGTCTATAGGAGAAAGCAATGAGAGAGAAGACTGGGAAGGTGGGCCAAGGTTAGATTGCATACGCCTGAAATGGTCATTTAAAGTATTAGCAAATAGGTTCCCTGAAGGGCCGTGAGATGATTAAGATCATTCGGTTCTAGGCAAAATGAATTGGAGAATGGAAGCAGCACTCGTGAGAGTCCCTGAAGGAGACACCAAAACAGAATTCAGGTGAAAATCCCCTTTTTAAGATAAATGTGAGGAAGAACCACTAGAAAGACACAGCTAACTCAGATTCATCAGCTGGGCCAACCCCATGCATCACCCCCTCATCTTCACGTGAGCTCTTCACTGAGAGACAGATTACTACTGCCAGGCCCTGAATCCATTTAGTCCTAATAGCATCCCTATGAGGTATGTGCTGTTATTTCCATTTTATAGATGAGGGAACTGAGAAAAAAAAGTATGCACAGGGTCACAAATCTCCTAAAGAGTTAGTATTGGGGGCCCGGGATTCACTAATTCAAAAGCCTATGACTGTCTGTCAAAGCTGAGGACACTCAGAGATAGGTACAGTTTTAGGAAAAATAGTCCAGGCCCAGGAGCAGGGGGAAGACCTCTAGGGCCAATACCAAAGCACCCCGTGGGGAAGTGGATATTCTGTGGTGGTTCCACATTTAGGTCCCCTTGCAGTCCTACCTTGCTTTCTCCTTCAATGACGATGACAGGCACAGCAGTGGCAGGCCAGCGGTGTTTGGCTGGTAGGGGTTTGTCACAATTCCATAGAACTATGATCTGAAAGGAATAGGGGGTCATTAGATGGCTCGGTAAGGCTGGGTTTATATTGGCCTCCAACTCAGCGTTCCTTCTCAGAGAAAGAGAGAGGAGCTGGAGATCCACGCAAGGCAGAGGGCAGACATCAAAACTGATTTGAAAGTGAGTCCGCTCCCACACAACCTTCCGAGCCTAGTCACCTCAACCACCAGAGAGAGGGGGCACAGAGAATAACCTAAAAAGATTACGTCTGGGGGCTGGAGAAAGTCGGAAGGAAAAAAAGTAATGTCGGGGTTGCTGGATCTTAATAAAGTGACTTCCTAAATTCTGGGATCTTATAGAGACGAGTGAGATAATGACACTGATCCAATTAAATAAAGATGTATCCTGAACATCTGCTGTGAACTTGCACTACACCAGGCGGCATGGCAGAAATAAAAAGAATTCAAGCAGGAGCTCGGGTTTTCAGTTCTCCGCAATGGGTGCTGACTTTACAGGACTTTATTATTGCTAATAAATGTGTTTAGTTCAAAAATGTATACTTCGGAATTCTTTACTTCTCTCCTTGATTGTAAATCTTCTTCTATAAGCTATTTACAAATCAGAAAAACCACTGTCAATAACTGTGTGGGAGAGATGCTGACTTGTCAAATATTGTTACTACAGGTTGAATCCTCTGTTACCAATGTCACCGAAAGTTGATGCCTCCTGACACCAAGTCTGTTTCTTCTGTTGAAACGTAGTTTTCTGGGTCCTCCCAGTGGCCCATGTGATGTTACTTTATCACAGTGACATTTAAAAACAAAATAATGCGCTTATATAGTCTTTAAAAAATGTGTTGTTTATATATATATAT